GTTTGTCTTTTGTCCACAGCTCAGTGGGGGTGGTAGAGGGGAGGAGAGGGTGAGGGTAAAGGTTAGTAAGGAGGGCAGCATGAAGGAGGGCATAGCCCCACAGAGAAGGGGTGCAGGATGCGTGGACAAGGAGACACCGAGCAGTTTTGGTGATCTCCCGCACACAACTCTCAGCGACACCGTTCTGCTGTGGGGAGTGAGGGAGGGTGTAGGTCTGAAGAATGCCACGAGACTGGCAATAGGAGGAAATCTGGTTGTTCAGGAACTCACCACCACCATCAGAGTGGAGGTGGCGAACAGGGCGCCCAACGTGGGTGTTTGCCTGCTCAAGCCAAGCAATGATTGCAGTCGGGGCGTCCGCCTTCGTCCGAAGGAGAGAGACGAACGAGTATCGACTGTGATCATCGACGAGAACGAGAAGGTAACGATGGCCTTGGCGAGTGGGAGAGGGATTAGGGCCCCAGAGGTCCATGTGATCAAGATCAAGCGGCTGAGCTGCAGCAGAGGGGGAGCTCCGGTGCGGCTGCTGCTTGAGCTTGCTCTGAACACAGAGGGTGCAAGAGGGGGCAGGGGATTTGAGTAGGGGAGGGAGGGAGGAGGGGAGACCGTGGAGGAGACCGGAGGAGACAGAAGAGCGCAGAGTAGCGAAGTTAGGGTGACCTAGCCTGTGGTGGAGGAGGATGGTGGGGTGGGAGAGGGAGCGACAGGAGCAGTCAGAGTCAGGGGGGCGGGGGGGTAGAGGTGGGTTAGTGGTAGGGAGGGGAGGGAGGGGAAGGAGGGGGGGGGAGGCAACTTGAAAGGTGAGGGGGCGGGGAACCCGAAGGGTGTACATGCGGGAGCGGGGACAGTAGGGAATACGAGAGAGAAAACGACCTGTGGAGGTGTGGTAAAGATCACAATGGTTAGCGCCACTTGGGATGACAGTGGTGATCATGGCTTGTTGGAGGGACCTTTGGGAGAGGAGGTTAGTGCGAAGGGAGGGAATGTGAAGACCTGTGACAGTACCTGAAGGAAAGAGAGGACAGGGAAGGGTGGAGGTGTTTGACAAGGGATGGAAAAACTGCTGTCAGCGCCAAGGAGGGAGGTGGGTGTGGGGAGCGGGTGGAGTGTACCAGCGTCACGAAGGACAGTGTCAGTGGCTCCACTGTCCAGGACGAACTCAAGGGTGGAGGAGGGTGAGGCGGAGTACTGAAGTGAAGTTTCATTAATAGCAGGGGCATACATGGGGGATGCAACAGATGCAGGCTGACTAAGCAAGCCAACAAAGCCAGAGGAGGGAAAGGGGGTCACACTGCCACCTGTGGACGGCGCAGGGGATGGACCGGAGAGGTGGGCCGTGGAGGCAGCATTCCCGGCGGTCCAGCTGGGAAACGGCTGCTGCTGGGAGACAGGAGGAGGAGGGAAAAGAGGAAGCTGGGGCTGGAGGTCAAGCTGCTGCTGGAGCTGCTGCCTGTACTGCTGCGGCCCCTGCTGCTGAACATTCTGGTGCTGCTGCTGCTGCTGCTGCTGTGGGGGGAGAGTAAGGGCCTGGTGGGCCTGGGAGGAGGAGGAAGGGGCGTAGAGGGGAGAGGTGCGGACATCCAGGGGAGTGGGGCGGGGGCTGAGGGCGGACCAGCGAGGAGGGGTGCCAGAGTTCCCACGAGCGAACCACTCATCACTGAGTGCCTTGAAGCACGTGTCAGTTGCATGAGTGGTTTGGTTGCAGCGCTGGCCTCGAGTAGGGCCATAGAGGGGAAGATACTAACAGGGTGGGAAGGCCGCTGCTGCACCGTGACCCGCGCCACCGCGACCGCCAGAGCCGCCTCGGCCACCACCACGCCCGCCTCCACGCCCACCCCCACGCCCGCCCTTACTGCTGCCCTGCTGTGCCGCTGCTGCGGTGGAGGAGGAATGGCGAAGGATTTCAGCTTCAGTGGTGATGATCCATTGTGCAACTTGAGCGGGAGTGTCATGCTTGGAGAGGAGCTGCATGTATGCGAGCTTGTGGGCATCGAAGGCAGGGGTGAGACCCTCGAGGAGGTGGCAGCAAATGACAATGTCAGGGTAGGCAACACCCAATGCTGCAAGGCGGCAAGCAAGATCGAGGACGCGGCGGGTAAAGGCGGCTGCGCCGGCGGTAGAGTCCATGGTGAGGGACCCGAATTCCTTGATGAGCGCATAGAGAGTGGCAATGTCCAGCCTGTCGAAGAGGTCGACGAGCAGTTGCCACGGGTGGGAGGAGGAAGTAGGTGAGAGCTCCCGTTTGAGGGAGGGGGGGATAGTGGCGAGGAGAATGGCGAGAGCTCGGCGATCAGCAATGCGCCGATGTCAGTGGTGTAGGTGGCGAGGCGTGTGGTGTAACTGGCGAGCTGGGCTTGGTATTCGCGGTAGCGGGCAGCAGCATCATCGTAGGTGCGCTTGTCGTCCTAATAGCGCACTTGCCGGCGAAGGTGATCGTTGAGTGTGGTGCGGTAAGTACAGATGGCAGTCTCCACGCTCTGTGGGTTGTTGAGATCCGGCGCGAAGGAGGGAGGGTCACCAGGAGACTTGGGCTCGGGTCCGGGTTCGTCGGGAGCAGGTCCGGTGGGGGCGGGAGGGGCGACAGGCTGGAGTCCACCCTCCTCCTGGAACACGACGGACCGAAAGGTGTATCCTCTGACGACGACCGAGGAGAGCTAAACCTCGACGGAGTGGGCATAGGAGTGCCAGTTGGCGGCTGAGTTGTCGCCCAACAACTCAAGAGTGTCGATGGTCGCTTAGTCGACCGACGAGTCCGACGACGCCATGATGGCGAAGCCGGTGAAGGTGCCGCTGCTGGTGCCGTTGACGGTGCCGCTGCTGGTGCTGTTGACGGTGCCGCTGCTGGTGCCGCTGCTGGTGCCGCTGCTGGTGCCGTTGAGAATGGCGTAGGGGGAGGAGGTAAGGGGGAGGTTGGCGCGGAAGGGCGGGACAGGGCGTGGGGGGCGCGGTTGAGGGAAGGGGAGGTCGCGGCGACCGCGGTCAGGCCAGCCGCGACGGCGCGCAGGTCAGCTGAGGCTCCTCGCAGGTCGTCTGCGATGGCGCGAAGGTCGTGCGCGGTGGCGCCCTCGTCCGCGGGCACGCCTCGTCCGTCCACGGCAGCGCGCTCGTCCTCCGCGGGCGCGCGTCGTCCGTCCGCGACAGTGCGCTCGTCGTCGGCAGGCACGCGTCGTCCGTCCACGGCAGCGCGCTCGTCCTCGGCGGGCGCGCGTCGTCCGTCCGCAACAGTGCGCTCGTCGTCGGCGGGCGCGCGTCGTCCGTCCGCGGCAGCGCGCTCGTCGCCGGCGGCGGCGCGTCGTCCGTCCGCGGCGGCCTTGTCGTCGCCGGCGGGGGCGCATCGTGCGTCCGCGGTGGCCTCGTCGCCGTCCGCGGGCGCGCGTGGGCTGTCCGCGCGCGCGACGGATGGGGCGTCCGCGACAGACGCGTGCAGCTTGTCCGCGGCGAGGTGCAAGAGGAGGTGCGGCGAGGTGCAAGAGGAGGTGCGGCGAGGTGCAAGAGGAGGTGCGGCGAGGTGCAAGAGGAGGTGCGGCGAGGTGCAAGAGGAGGTGCGGCGGCGAGCAAGGGGAGGAGAGTTGCAGCCGTGGGAGAGCGGATCGAGGCCGCGGGAGGGCAGATTAGGTCTGCGGGAGGGCAGATCGGGGCCGCGGGAGGGCAGATCGAGTCAGCGGGAGGGCGGATCGGGGCTGCGGGAGGGCAGATTTGGTCTGCAGGAGGGCGGATCGGGCACGGGAGGGCGGATCTGAGGTGCAAACGGTGAAAAGGTACGGGAGGGCGGATCTAAGATAGAGTCCGCTAGGGTAACGCCTTGAGGGAGGCTAGGTGTAGGAGGCGTGGAGGGGAGGGTGGCCTAGGATTCGAGGGAGGAAGGCGTGAGCCATTGAGCTCTAGATACCACGTGAGAACTTAAGATGATTTCTTACTAATGAGCCAAGAGGCTCTATAATACAAGCATGCAAGAAGGGAAGAGTGGAAGTAATCTAAACCTATTGGCCACTAAGTTGGCCAATGAGTGAGGTGCCTTGTTGAGTAAGCAACCTCACAATGTAGCTAGGTTGGGATTGGTTGGTCTAAGGACCAAAAGGTTGGCAAGTGCCAACCAAGGACCAAGACCAAACCAAAGCTTGACCAACCACACAGTGTGGTTGGAGTGTACACCCAACCCTCCTATAACAGTAATGACTACACCTATTCTAGCCTATGAATGTTGTATAAGATATACATGTACAACATCAGGTGCTACCAATCAGGTGCCACCAATCAGGTGCCACCAACCAGGAATAAAGACAATTAGGTGCCACCAACCAGGTGCTACCAATCAGGTGCCACCAATCAGGGCCACCAATCAGGTGCCACCAATCAGGTGCCATCAATCAGGTGCCACCAATCAGGTGCAACCAATCAGGTGCCACCAATCAGGTGCCACCAATCAGGTGCCATCAATCAGGTGCCACCAATCAGGAGCAACCAATCAGGAGCCACCAATAGGAGCCACCAATCAGGAGCCACCAATCAGGAGCCAGCAATCAGGTGCCACCAATCAGGAGCCACCAATCAGGTGCCAGCAATCAGGTGCCACCAATCAGGAGCCACCAATCAGGAGCCACCAATCAGGAGCCACCAATAGGAGCCACCAATCAGGAGCCACCAATCAGGAGCCACCAATCAGGTGCCACCAATCAGGTGCAACCAATCAGGTGCCGCCAATCAGGTGCCGCCAATCAGGTGCCGCCAATCAGGTGCCACCGATCAGGTGCCACCGATCAGGTGCCACCGATCAGGTGCCACCGATCATGTGCCACCGATCAGGTGCAACCCATCAGGTGCCACCAATCAGGTGCCACCAATCAGGTGCGACCAATCAGGTGCCACCAATCAGGTGCTACCTGGAGGGCAATGCAAGGCACTTGTGACGATTTCCTCCCTCCCTCCCTTCCAAATGGCTTCAGCACCGCTTACTTGACTCTCTCCCCCAATGTTCACCCCTCGCCTCCCACGGACATCAGGACGACTACCTGTGGCGCATATCCCAGAAGATGCTCTACATCAAGAGCAAGGGCCACATGCTGCAGGCGCAGGCGGCCGGCGGGACGAGCTCCCAGGCGTCTGCAGGGTCTGTTGCCACTGGCGGGATGACTGCTGATGCATGTAAGGAGTGTTTGTGTGTGGTGTTTGTAAGGAGTGTGTGTGTGTGTGGTGCATGCATGTAAGGTGTGCGTGCATGCGTGCGTGCGTGCGTGTGATGCATGTAAGGAATGCATGTGACGGATGTGATCATAAAGAGTGCATGTGATGGTATTCAGTGGTCGAACCCTACAACTTGCCACTCCTCATTTCCAGCCGTCCTAACTTCAAAATTACCCAGTCTTAGTTACAACCAGCGAGTGAATGACGCAAGCCCCACCATCCATTGAAATCTAGGAGAATAGTTCCTCACTCAATGCTTGGGATTTGTGTTATACCTGCCCTGACCTACCGGACAACCTGTTTCCGAGCGTGTCAAGAGAGACCGTTTAGCGTTGAAGTCTAGCGTTGAAAGCATTTAATGCGATTACGGTCACATAGACTCGTTCCACCACACCACGGTTCCATAGGGCATGCATGCTTAGTTGCGGAAGACGCGTCTAGCGTCTTAGACGCGTCCGTCTAGACGCAGCGTCTAAGACGCTAGACGCTAGACAAGACAGTGAAGATTAGACGCAGTATTAGACGAAAACCCGGGCAGGCCTAAAAAAAATGTTCGGTCAGACCAAAAAAAGTTCTATGGGGCATGGGGAGGGTGGGGGACATACACCTATGTCACAATGGATACTAGAAGACATGGTTGCGCGGTGGAAGTAGCTAAACCCTGAGGGTTTTCGAAAGAGATTTGGAAGAAATGAAGGTAGGGGAGCACAAATGAGGGATTTGTGCTCCCCAACCTCTTGGTGGTTAGCCATAGAGGTTGGGTTTTCTAGATACCAAGCGGTGAAGTGTGGTTTGTGTTCAATTTTGGTTGGGGGGGATTCAAATTTGCTTGGGGGGCTGGTTTTTGTGGTCGAAATGGGTGGGAAGGGGCTCTAATGGCGCGAAATTGAATTTCGTGTCGAAATGGCGAATATCATTTTCGCGCGCGCGATTTTTTTTTCGGGCTGCCCGAAAAAAATTCGCCCAAGCGTCTTGCGTCTAAAAGTGCGTCTTGCGTCTAGCGTCTAGCGTCTTCCGCAACTAAGCATGCATGTATCAGAAACATTTAAAAAATGCATGCACCACAGTCAGAGTCACAGTCACAGTCACAGTCACAATCGAATTGTCCCTTGTGGGGATCACAATTATTAATTCATTCGTTACTCGCACTCTTCACATGCATCACAATCACCGCTTACATGCCCCACACGACACGCCACTACCTTCATTGCATAAGACGCATTCACCCTGTACCTCCCTCCCTCTTCATTTCCAGCCAACATGAGCTATCCCCAGCAGCAGCAGCAGCAGCCGGGTCAAGCGGGTCAAGCGAGTCAGCAGCAGCAGGCCATGCGGGCGGGAGGGGCAATGATGATGGGGCAGCAGCAGCAGCCAGGCGCCATGGCTCCCATCGGTTCTATCACAGGCCCAGGGGGGATGGGTGCGCCAGTGCAACCTGGGGCTGGCATGGGGGCACCCGGGGCCGTGAGGCAGCTGCCTCAGAGCAATCTGTCCATGGGGGGTAATAGTCAGGTGCAGGGGGGTAATAGTCAGGTGCAGGGGGGTGCTCCCATGCAAGTGGTTGGAGGGCAGCCGGGGCAGCAGCAGCAGCAGCAGCAGCAGCAGCAGCGGGTGCTACTGATGCAGCAGCAGCAGTTGCGGCAGCAGCAGCAGCAGCAGCCACAGCAGCAGCAGCAGCCAGGTCAGGCACCTCAGGCACAGCAGCAGCAGCAGATGGGAGGGCAGATGCAGCCGCAGCAGGTGCAGCAGCAGGGTCCTAGCAGCATGGCGCAGCAGCCTGGTGGGCTTATGAACCGCACTCAACCCATGCCTCTCCAGCAGCAGCAGCAGCAGCAGCAGCAGCAGCAGCAGCCAGTGCAGCAGCAGCAGTTTGGAGGGCCGCAGGTGCAGAGAATGCAGCACAGCCCAAGCCCAGTGCCCGTGGCGTTGCAGCAGCAGCAGCAGCAGCAGCAGCAGCAGCAGCAGCAGCAGCAGCAGCAGCAGCAGCAGCAGCCACAGCAGCAGCTGCCTGTGCAGCAGGCAATAGGAGGGCAGATGGGTCAGCAGCAGCAGCAGCAGCCGATTCAGCCCCAACAACAGAGCCAGCCAATGCAGCCAATGCAGCAGGTGCAGCAGCCGATGCAGCAGCAGGTGCAGCAGCAGGTGCAGCAGCAGGTGCAGCAGCCTCCGCAGCAGGCAGCACAGCAGCAGCAGGGCATGCAAGCCCAGGCAGGGGCGATGCAGCAGCAGCAGCAGCAGCAGCAGCAGCAGCAGCTGCAGCAGCAGCAGCAGCAGCAGCAGCAGCAGCAGCAGCAGCAGCAGCAGCAGCAGCAGCAGCAG